AATTCAAAAACTAGTGATGACAATTTTCTGGTTTTTGATTTTTTTTTTTTTTTTTTTTTTACCAACTGTCTGAATAAATGCACCCCATTAGCTGTTAGTCAGTTGGGGGTCTTGTCAGCTAAGACTAATAATCTTATATCTAAATTGCAAGTACTGTCTTGGTGTAAATCGACTCCAGTTGGCAGAGTTAATTGAACTTGCTGGATTTGGGCCAAGTTGTGCATAATGGTATTATTTATGCTGACAGTTTTACATCCCCCCCTGGGTTCTGTCTATTAAAAAAAAAAAAAGGCAATGTTTAGTTAGCAAAAAAAGTGATATCGTAAATTCAAAAAAGATCAAGAACAGATTTAAGAGGCAGTTTGTTGGTTTTTTGTTTTGTTTTTTTTCTGCTCCACAGAGTTTGCTAATTCAGGGCTCGTGACCTGTATTGCACTTGAACCTTGGTTTATAACTTCATTTATGCTAATGAATGTCAGTTAGAAAATAGTAATATTCCTTATTCTGCCCTTTCATTTTACTCCTTCTGTGATTAGATGAATTCTGGTGTCTTATTCAGCACTATGGCACAGGACAAGCTGGTGAATGGTTGTTGTGAAATGCAATACCAGAGTACTTCAGGGGTTTTTGCCCAGCTATTTAAACTCTGAACTGTTGGCTTCTGACTGAATTCAGTTCTTGAAAGGGGGTTTTGCAATTTGGATTTCTGTTTTCACTCCAGTAAAACAAGAGAAGGGCTTGTTTCCTTTGCTGTACTCTCTGAAGATTTTTTTTTTCTTGTTTTTTGCTGAGCCTTGAAAATTCAAATAGTCAGAACTGCTTCGTGTCAATACTCTATTCTGAAATACATTTTGTGATCTAGAGTTTTTTAAAAAATTGCTTTAAAGAATTTTTTTGGCTCTCCAAGTGATGTGTTCCCCTGGTGCCTTCATACCTTGCAGAGTTTTAAAGTATGTTATGCTTTAAACAGGTGATATTGGAAGTGATTCTGTAAAAAGGTTACTGGCTTTCATGCCACAGTGGTTATTGAATTCTTTCTAATTTAATTCTCTTTTTTTTTTTTTTTTTTCCCCTCCCAATGTCCCAGCTTTAAACTAAGCCTTGACCTCTGCAAGTAGAGCTGAGGTGGTCCAGCCCCCGTCACCGTAGGGCAGTGTTCCACAGAGGACAGCTTTTTCCTTGAGCCTGGTCCTGCAGGTACCGTGTGACAAAGTCCTGAGCAACCAGGTCTGATTTGGCCCTGCTTTGGGCAGGGTGGGACTCAATACCCTCTCCAGGCTGGAGACGAGTGTCCTGGCTCAGGCAGAGAGGGGGTCAGGATTGGAGTTTCCCTCTCCAGAGCGTGAGCAGGACTGACCTGCACTTAGTGATCTGATCTTCTTCTGTCAGACTTCTATCCCTGTCTCGTTAATATATGTGATCCCAGATTTTTTTTTTCCCCAGGTTAATTTTTACCTCAGCGATGAGGGAAGCTGGCATCAGGCGTGCTTCCTGATGAGTTTAGCAAGACTCTTTTATAAAAAAAGAAAGTTCTTATGGGTGCGGCAGGAAGACACTACCTACAGAAGAGTATCCACCATGCTGTCTTTAGGAACATCTCTTAATGTTTGACTGCCCTTGTGTTGTTGAAGCACCTTAGGTGCCCTGCTTCACAAAATGGGTATTTAGCAGGAATCCCTGTCATGGTTTAACCCTGGCCAGCAACTAAGCCCCACACAGCCACTGGCTCACTCCCCCCCCCACAGTGGGATGTGGGAGAGAATCGAAAGGGTAAAAGTGAGAAAACTTGTGGGTTGAGATGAAGACAGTTCAATAGGGAAAGCAAAAGCCATGCACACAAGCAAAGCAAAACAAGCAATTAATTCACCACTTCCCATCAGCAGGCAGGTGCTCAGCCATCCCCAGGAAAGCAGGGCTCCATCACGTGTAACGGTGACTTGGGAAGACAAACGCCATCACTGCAAGTGTCCCCCCTTTTCTTTTTCCCCCAGCTTTATCTGCTGAGCATGACATCATACGGTGTGGGATATCCCTGGGGTCAGCTGTCCCGGCCGTGTCCCCTCCCAGCTTCTTGTGCCCCCCCAGCCTCCTCGCTGGTGGGGTGGGGTGAGGAGGAGAAAAGGCCTTAACTCTGTGTAAGCGCTGTTCAGCAGTAAGGAAAACATCCCTGGGTTATCAACACTGTTTCCAGCACAAATCCAAACCATAGCCCCATACTGGCTACTGTGAAGAAAATTAACTCTATCCCAGCCAAAGCCATCACAGTCTTACACCACCAAAACAGGTTATGTCAGTGATGAAGTAATTTTCACTTATATTTGATCCCTTGCTGTTTCTTTGTACCTTGCACTAACTTATCTCTCCTCTATCCCCAGCCTTCCTACTTTTAAAACCAACCCAAGATAGTCCTTGGTTTATGCTCTGAAGGAGGTTTATGTCCTTTTTAGTTAATGTGACCTGACACTCCCATTATTCATAGACGTAAAGGACTGGGGTGTTTTTCTCCTATCAAATGCCTGTCCTCAATTCCTCCTTTTGGTAGTAAGCTTCTAAAATAATTTATGCACTGTTTTTTAGCTTTTTAATCACTTTCTAGCTACACTGAATAGAGTGTAATTATGTAGACTGCCACACGCTATCAAACTCAAACATCCATTGTAGTTAAACCTACAAGACTGATGTTCTAGAGCTTTGTAATATACGGTGACAAACCAAATAGTCTTCTGGCTTCTGTGTTGGTACCCGAAATACTTCACTTGGGAATTATCTAAATTAACTGGATATCGTAATCAGGGCAAACTATGAAAAGATGTCTTCCTCAGATGTAAATAAGAGTGTTTCCTGGAAGTTTATGTATGCTGTTACAGTTTTTTTATCATTAAATCACTGTATATGGAGAACTAGACTTGAAGAATACGTGGTTTTATTCAGCAGGGATGGTTTCAGTGGCAGTGTCACATGAAGCCAAGGAACGATGCCGGTTGGTGTGATAGCTTCCCATTGGAGCAGAAAGCCCTGGAGGGCAGCGCTCCCTCAGTGACCTCCTGTGCTCGAGTTCATGATTTGGGGCTTTCATTCTCCTTGCCATCCAGCAGGATGGAGCAAGAGGAGGTTAGGAAATTGTATCAGGAATGTGATGGTGCTGGCTTAGGTTGCCTGGCCACCCCCAGGGCATCTAGAGCTTTTGGAAACTGTGTCCTCAGTTAATCTCTGGTTCAAAGTGGCTCTGATTTTTTTTATTTTTTTTTTTTTTTTTTTCCCCCTTTTCTCTCCAGTGTTGTACGAATTTGCTCTCTCTGAAAAAAGCTGCTGAAGGGCAGTCCTGGACTAAACAGACAGCGCTCTCTTTTTCCATGCTTATGTAAAAACTTTGCTTAACCTGCAGGGATGGAGGGAGACTGCATGCAGACAAGTGCAGGAGAAGTTTGTGTTGGGAAAATGGGTCCCATCCTTCCCAAACACGAGCTGAAAACTTTGGTCTGACACTTTCTAGCTGTTGGGCACCAGTGATGCCTGCAGCTTTGGAAGATTGGCTCTTGCAGGGCTCCTCTCTGTTTGCCATGGGATGTTCTTTTGTTTGTCCTCCAGCCTGAGGTTTGAATCTGTGAATTCCTTAGCATTTTCTAGGGGAGGGGGGGAAAATAAGTCTTTATTTCTGTAGTATTTGGCCTGTACTTCTCCCACTTGCGTGATGGTTCTCCCATGCAACTGGTGTTTGTAGAGCTTAGGTAGTTTATCTGTTGGGCAGAGGGAAGAAACAGCTCTTAAGTAACTGCTAAAGCTTGAAAGTTGTTATAGTTTAAGACCTTAAATTAATGGAATTATTTTGGAAGTCAGTGTCCTGGTTGGCTGAACATTGGTGTTGTGGTCTAACCTTTCCTGCCCCAAAGTTAATTTAAGTGATTATTTTAGTTTCTCCTTCACAGTAGTATTGAATATAGGAGTGACTTGGAAGCAGGGATACTCAACTCTGGTCTGTACAGTTCAGACATATACTCAAATGATTCACAGCCTGTATTTGCAGCATTGTCTTTTCATGTGCTTGGCTGTCCCAAGTAAAATTTGAATACTTGAGGTAGGGTTGTAGGCTTCTCTCAGGTTTTAGCATTTTTTATCTTTGCCTGTAGAAGTTACCTAATCAGAAGTATGGAAGCAATTTGCCAAAAGCCTAGGGTTCACCATACTGGATGATACTGGTGCAACTTTTTTCCTGCCTTAAAAGGGGTCTTATGCTTAATATTCACATATTAAGAAAAACAACAAAAGCCTAAAAAAGTAGCTTGTTTTCTTTCCCTTGCTCCTGTGAAATGGGTAGCTGTTGCTGCTGCGTTCTGTGCATCACCTCTAATAGACTGCATTAGCTTCCTATCGAGGACTCTCTAAGGTTCAGGAGTGACATCTTTGTCCTTCCAAACTCATAATGGTTTGATGCCAGGATACCTGAAACATGCACCAAATGACCAAACTTGATCTGCTGTTAATGAAATCAGTGGTCTCTAATGTTGTCATAGTATTTTTCTTTTATTCTTACGCTAGTTATTAAAGGATGCCTTCTATCAGAACAGAAATGGTAGGGGTTTTTTTGCAGACTGTCTCTGGAGGAAAGGAGGTTGTCTGATGCATGCTTAGATGACCTCCAAAAACAAATAATAAAATGCAATTCTCTTTAAATGCCCTGTTTTTTCTAATCTTAATGTTTATCTAATTTTCAGTAATAAAGATGGCTAACGGGCTGCTTCTAATGTATGCTGTAATTGCATAATCACTGTACAAGTTTAATCTTGTAATATCATTCTAAGACTTCGTGGCTTTTGATATCATGTTATCTTTTGTAAAAATAATAAAAATGTACATGTGAAACATTTTTCTTCAAGTTTTAAAACTGTTAAATAACATAACTGGTTTTTTGCCTGCTAGTAATTTGGTAGACACTTTATAATATAATACACTGAGTTTCTGATGAACTAGCTAACTTTCTCATTTCATTTTGACTTCTCTAGAGAAGTTGGAAGTTGCCCCACCATCTCCAGGACAACTGAAACATGGTAAAAGAAGAATGTTTGTTGAATGTGGTTCAGTACTTGTGCAGTCTGTCTTTGAATTGCTTCATCTTTCTCCTACAAGTGCTGGTCTGTCCTCATCCTGTCGTATGGAGTAACAGAAAACCAAAGCAAGCACCAACAGTCACCCTGCCTTCTTTATTTCATAACACCTCAGCTGGAGAATGTGCACCACTTAGTGAAAGTAGGACAGAAAGCCCAAATGAGACCACGCTGTTCAAAGCCAGCAAACCTTGGTTTTGTAAGCTGAGCTGTGTTGATGCTGCAGTACCTTGTGGGGGGGTTTTTTTAAGCTTAAAACTATGGACTTGCTCCTTGTTGCATATATTTTAAATAGACTGAGAAGTAGGATGAAATTGCAGAAAAATTGGAAATAGATGTGGTATTCTTTATACCGTGGTCATTCAAATTCTGATTTAGTTTCCAAATCAATGTATTTTTGTGGTTTTTAAACTCTGGCAGTGAGCAAATGTATTTGGTTGAACATTTTCCTACTTTAGGTATCTACGCTTATTTTTCTTTGGGTTTTTTTTTTTGCTTGGTCCCTGGGGTTCTGCTTACTCCATGGATTCCAAAATTCTGTCAACTTCAGTAAGAATTTGATTTCCCTTTGTAGCTCCAGAGTTTGGTGCACACATTTTGAAAATAGTAGGCATCTCTATGTGCTTTTTTGTTATTTATGGTTTGGGGTTTTTTTTGTACTGCAGTGGTTTAAAAAAATAATAATTTGGAAAATTTTATACATTCTGTGCTTCAGTCTTTTACCTGTGCATTTCAGAAGGTATGTGTTTTCTTACAAAGTGATTACAGAAGTCCAAACATGTTCTAGTACCTGAGCATGAAAGATCTCACATGTGTCTTTGTTTTTTATATGATCATGGATTTACGCTGTCTGTGAGAGGTAAACCCAAAATGGACTCATACTGGTTTCTTTTCACATGACCCTGAAGTTCATGCATTCTTGTTCTGTCTTCATAATTTTGCATCTCTAAGTTTATAAAATAGAGGAATTATTGATCCCATCTGAATTGGGGAAAAAAGCCTAAATAGCTGATGAATTTTAAATGTTAAATAAATGAAAAGAGAAGCTGTACTTTTAGTCATACAGCCTGTCCTCAGGGCTGTGTTTAGTCTTATGATGCTAGCACCTTGAAACTCAGCTGCAGGCGATGCTGTGCAAATTCAGTCCCATCTCCATCAGAAGCTTAGAAGCTAAAACTTGAGAGAGAAAAAGGAGCAGGGGAAAAAAGAAATGATCCAATAGGACTGTGCTTGCCATTAGAAATTATTCAAACCAGCATGTCCCAAGTTCCTGCAATAGAAAATGTTTTCAAATAGGGTTTACTTGGAGTTGCAGGAGTGAAAAGAAAGAATGCATAAAATGAAAGGTGGAACTTGATTTCTTAAACAGTGTTTTGAGAAGCAGCTTCAAGTCGAACTTGCTCTTGGCATACTGCCCAAACAAAAACAAGATACAGAGGTTTGGGTTCAATAGTGAAATAATTAACGCTGTATGACACACTAGTAAAAACCACCTTAGCATTTGCAGATTTAGCTGAAGGAGTTTTGATAAGAATTGCCTAGCTCCAGGCAATACTCTTAAAATACGCATTTTTAGGAATGCATGAAGAAGATGGAGCTCTTGCACGGGAATAGAGAGGGACTTGCAGAGGAAGAGAAGAATTCAGGGAGTCTGGTGAGACATTTTGGCAATCTTCAATGATACTGCAACATTGGTTGGAAGGACTGTAAATAGTATCGAAGTTTGCATAGTTCAAATATTTCTCTTATGCAGTAACAGGCATTAAGTGGCTTCCATCCAAAATTGTACAGGTATTTGCAAAGAGTAAGTTGGCTTAACTGGTTCTTTGTAAGCAACACTTACATGTAGCAAAGGGCTTTACCAAACCTGCCATCAATAAAGTCACTAATAGAAATAGTAGGAAAGGCATTTTGTGTACGTTGTCTTTGATTCTCTTAAAGGCAGTATTAGACTGACGTTTCAGTAGTTCGCGTGAACTAGTGAACTCTTATAAATATTTATTTTCTCTTTGTTACTTATTTCTTTTAGTGTTCTTCCACAATGCATTACCTTTTGTAGGGTTTGGATTTTTGGATAACGCAATTATGATTGCTGCGGTAAGTTCATTATTTATTTCCTTGATCAAGTCAGTAAGATTCATATCGTTAAAGTACTAAATGAGTGAAGGAGAGCTTCAGGAAGGCTTGGTTCCCTCTGTTTCAAGTTACTAATTTCTATTTTATTTTTTCTTTTTTAAAGAAAATGTCCATGCTCTTATTCAGCATTTGCAGAATGCAAAGGAGTGTTGTTCCTTCTGAAGGACAGTATTGTAACTAATTTCACTGAATTGAGAAGAGGATTGCTTTGTTTTTTCCTCTCCTAATTTGTACTGCAAGACGCATTTATGATCACATAGTCGATACATTTTATTTTTTTTTTTGTACTGACTGATGATAATGTGATTATAATGTGTTGATGAATGGGTCTTCAGGGCTTTTACTGATGTGTTCCTTTGTTCTGAGTGATGCAGGCAATGTTAGTGCTGATGCTGATTTGTACTGATGTGGCCTGGCATTTCCAAGTAACAGAGATGTTTTCCTGTTAATTTGGAAGATGAAGTGGGCTAGTGGAACAGGAAGATGGACAAAGGCCAAAGATACTGTTCCCTGTGCAGAATTATCATTGACCGTGTGGTCTTAATGATGGGATAATTCAGATGGGAAGGGGCTGCAGGACCCACTAGGTCTCTAGTCTAACCTCCCACTCAATGCAGGGTCAGCTGTAAGCTCAGATTAAGTTGTTCTTGGTTTTATCCTGTGGGTCTTTAGAAGATTTAAGGGCAGAGACTGCACAGCCTGTCTGGGCAACCTGTTGCAATGGTCAGCTGTCCTCACGGTAGAGAACATTTTCCTATATCCACCCGGAACATGTCTTGTTTTAATGCATGCACATTGTCTCTCATCTTTGGACCATGTACTGCTGTTTCGTCGTACAACTCACTGTGACCATGTCTCTTCAACTGAAAAAGTAAGGAGCTACGATACTGTGTTTTATTTGTTTACTCAGTATTTGTAGAAGTTTGTGTTCAGAGCTGTGCATTCAGACTAAGAACTGCAGTGGGGAAAATGCTATGCAGAGATGACTGTTTTGTCCATTAGGTGGCTGTTATGAAACAGTGTAAAATATTGAAAGAATATCAAAAGTAGGCTCTTGTCCTAGGGGGAAATACATATGCTTGGATGGCAGGAGCTGTGCAGATCTAGTGGAAGTAATGTCCCTTTATCCTTTCAATCTTAACAAAACCAAGCAGTAAGCCGTATTTTTGCCAAATACATATAATCTATTTTAACTCGAAATCTCTCAATTAATGAGAAAACTCTTATTTTTCAGGGAACCCAAATAGAGTTGTCAATTGGAGTTGTCCTAGGAATTTCAACTATGGCAGGCAAGTAATAAAAATGCAGTATGTGTAGACTAATGTGGCACGTGCCTGTATTTTAGGCTGAAAGTGAGCCACAGGGCTGGAAATGGTTCTTCCTTGGTCTTGCAGAAACAACCTGTGGTTGAAGCAAGGACATATTACATTTGGTGAAATGGAATTGCAGTTCAAAGAGCTTTTGAAATCCATGTTGGTTTTAATCTAAAAGATCAAGTCCTGGGTTGCTTAAGAAAGTGTATTTGCATTTCTGTAATAGAACTGCTCTAAATTCCCTAGGGTCTGATATTTCTGTATGTGCATCTATGTATTTGTTAGTTGCTATTTGCTTGCAGTGCCAAGTGAAGATTGGTGTTGGTGTCCTTTTACTGTGTTGGCTGGTGTTCTTGGTGGCTTCTCTGCCTCCGTGTGATACCACGGGAAGGCCAAGCAGCCGCCCTGCTCCTGCACTGGGCCAAAACTGATAAGCTCTGCTCCACACCTTTGGTGCCTCTGCAATGTCAGAGGAAGGAAAACTGCTCGTGGATCCACCAACTGCAGGTGCAGCATTGCTCGAAAGCACCAGATAGCTTAAATTAAAATATATATATAGCAGAACAAGTTAATCATCTGGAAATTTGAAGCCCTTTTGCAATCCAAGGCAGTCACAAGCGAGCTTATCTCCGTAAGATCTGCTGTGAAATCACGTGGTTTAAGCGTGTAACTTTATTGAGTCATTCATACAGTATTTATTTCTAAACTGACACAGTTCATGGATATGTTGAAGTGTTTATCAAAGCTACATATGTGAGTAACAGCTCCTTCTGTTCCAGTGCTCCTGTGCCTCTCCAGGCACTGGGAGGCCTTGCTTGGTGTCCAGCGTTAGTGTCCAGCGTTAGCTGTGTGAAACGGGCAGCCACGCCTGGCCGGTTTTAACTCTGAGCTGAAAAGCTGTTGCATTGATTTCCAGGTGTCAGTGTTGTCTTGTTGTATTTGTCAAGTTTTGTTCATACAAGTTGAGAAAAATAGTTGCACTTCCTATTATTGTTATCCTGCTGCTGTTATTATAAACCGTAATAAGGTCAGAAGAAAAACTGTAAAATTAAAGAAACTTCCTTTGAGTCTTTTAAATACATTTCTATATAAACTGAGAAGAGCGAGGGTCGCTGGGGGGGGAGGGAGGGGCACTGGTTGTTTTCTTTGTAATTAAAATAATACTTTGCCTTCCTCTCCCCTTCTTTTCGCTCTTCCTCCGTCCAGCTGCAGCTTTGGGAAACCTTGTTTCAGATTTAGCTGGACTGGGGTATGTCTGAACTTGTATTAAGAATATTTCTTTTTATCCGCTCTTGCAAACACTGTTGGTGCTACTGAACTAAACCATAGAAACTGCTGAAATGGCTTTTGTATTTTCCTAGCTCTTGAATTTTGCTTCAGTAAAGTACGTGACTGTAGAAAGGTATTCTGTCCTTGCTAGGAAACAGTTGGAATATTAGGTGGTTCTTGTTGAGGTTAAAACTGCAATGCCATAGTTCAGAAATGGAGTAACTCTCCTGCTATTACACTATTCTGTACTTTAAGTGATAAAATTGGGATTGACGTTTAACGTGAATCAGTGTAGTCTATAGGTAATACTTGCTTTTAACGAAATATTACATCATCTTCTACAAAGAGTGCATTCATTAAAATACAAAATGGAAAAATACTTTTTTCTGGTGATACAATGTATTGCTGTGATGATAGAATATACCTAATATACCTGCTCAGATTGTTATGCCTAAATCTGAAGACTCTTCCTTCTCCTCTGGTAAAACAACTATATATATGAAATGTCTTCAGAGCTAGGCATACCTATTTCTGATATAAAAAGATGCATCTGAATTTTTAAGTTTTTAAAGGAAATTTCTGGGTAATTGCTGAAAGTAAAGCTGTCTGTTATGCTTCTCTTTCACTTTCCCTCTAATTGTTTTTTCTGCAAATAATAAGGCTTGTTACTAACTAGTTAGTGTGTGTGTAAAATCTTTCCTCCAGTAAAGGTTACTTACAAGCTCTGCAAAAATACAGTAACATTCACACCAGTTGTCTCCTAACGCATAAAGCTTTTCTGAGAATATTGCATATTAAATCAGTGAGAAAATCAGTTAACTGACACTGCAAAATGTGACCATCAGAAGTCTGAACACTTTCCCATATTTACCTCTCAATGGCTTTATCAGTATGCTGACAGAAAAGCAAAGCTATTAATTTTAAGTTCAGGGCTTCAAATATTTCAAAATCTTCACTAGAAGATACTGTCAGATCCAAAATTGTTTGTTCTTGTTTTCTTGTTCTTCCAGTCTTGCAGGTTATGTAGAAGCTTTAGCCTCACGACTGGGTCTGTCAATCCCTGATCTGACACCCAAACAAGCTGATATGTGGCAAACGCGTCTCAGTGCACACTTGGTGAGTATCCCGTAGGTAAGCACTGTTTGCGCAGAGCTTTTTTTTGTTGAAACTAATACGTGACAAATCCTTTTTGTCATTTTTGCCGTTAAATACTTGACGACCACTAACATTTTACCCATTTCCTGGAACGTTTATTTGTGACCCTATGTCGGGGAGCATCATGAGACTGGATTGTTTCAGGCTTGGGTGGTTTTTTTGTACGCAATACCCCACGAGTGACTAGTAACATGGATAGTCTCTGCAGTGATTTTGTGTATGCTGTGCAGATCCCGGGGTTGAGCTCTGGCGACTGTGATAAGATAGTTTATTTGGAAGTTATGAACCCTTAGTTTACTTCTCTACATTCTTTGTCAAGTGCTTGCTATTCATATATTTGTGCTAGTATGTATTAATTTCTAATATTCTATAATTAGCATGGATATGAAATTAGCTTTCCTGTGGGTAAATTTTTAGTATTTGAGTAATATTCACTGCTGGATTTACAGTTACAGGACACTCATCTTGCAGATTGATTTTCAGGATGATTACTTAATTAACATTTAAACATTTGAAGCAGTCCCACTTCAGCAACGAGAGCGTTAGTTTATTTTGATTAAAGAAACAGATTATAAGAAACTGAGTAAAGAAACAGCTGTTTCTTTCACTTTCCCAGAACAAACCTTCCTGGGGAAAAATTTCTTTGCAGATTTAAGGGAAGAGAAATAATACCTGCTGAGGAAAAATTAGGGGGAAAAGAAATCTTTTTTTAGCTGTGATAGATCAAAGCATGGAGCGGGGAAGAACTGGCATGTGGTCAGTGGGCTGCCCTCTATTCTGTCCAACGTAAGAGTTTTCTCAGCGGAAGCTGAGTCTGTGGCAAAAGCCTGTCATTGCACTGCAGTTCATTCACAGCCCCTTTCTCTGAAAAGACTTCTGAGCATCTTAGCCTGTATGCTAGCATTTTTTCTCTTATACCCACTGCCTCAAGTTTCTCAACACTATCCACCTACGGCTGGTGATGTGGTTTGGATGTTGCCTTTCTTATTTCTTTCTTCTCCGGTTGTCTTTTACATCTAGGTCAACTGTGAAATGTTTTCCAATTTTTGTTTTCATCTCTACCTTGAGCCTTGCAAATTATCATGTTTCAGAGGGATTCATTGTTCCTGACCTTGATGATAATTTGCATTGCAAGATGCAAGCAGATACATTTATAATTGCACCTAAAATGTGGTTTGTGGAGGTTTTTTTCCCCTCCCTCCCTGTCTTCCTGGCCATCCTACTAATCCTCTGAATCCGTGTCTCTTCCCTTACCACCTCTGCAGCTCTTCATGGGTCATTCCCCTCCTCTTCATTCAGAATTGTCTTTTATCACAGTGCATGCTGTTTCTAACCTTGTCATATATGTCTCTCATAGATTGTGTTTCTAGTCTGCATGCTAAGAAAAATGTGGCTCCCAACCAAGAGCTAGAATCAAAGGGTCTGTGTTCCTGGCTATGTTGGTACTGCATAGCAAATGAGTAACAACTGATCAATGAGAAACTTAATTTTTTCCCCCTTTCTCTAGGGTAAAGCTATTGGAGTGACCATTGGCTGCATTTTAGGAATGTTTCCTTTGTTGTTCTTTGGCGATGAGGAAGAAAAACTGGAAGAAAAAAATTAACCTTTTTACAAGACATATACAGATGTAAACTACTGTACCTCAATTATTCAATTACGCTGTCAATATTTAGGAATTAACAGACAGTAAAAAAATGTATAGACTTGGGAACAAAACCTTCAGCATGTCGTTTTATGGAAACACTAATTTATTGTGGCTTTGTTGTGTTCAGTACTTCTTTTTATAAGATACCATCTAACTTTTTATTTAATTGTAAATTTTTGAAGTGTTTTCTTTTATGACAACTGATGTTTACCACTTTCCCCTTTGACCTTACTCTTTAATGGATTATTACTTTAATAATCCACCATGGATGACAGTATCACTCTTGAGTTGCATATTGGCTGCCTAACAGTTGTAATCGCATGACAAAAATGTCACTGGTGTCCATCAGGTCCTTCAATGCAGATTATTAAGGAAGTCAGTCATGAGTAATTCAAAGTCCCTTGCTTTGCAAGGTGACTGGTTGCCCCCTCACCAGCCGTCGTTTTGCACGTTTTGTAGATAATTTGGTGGTCTACAACAGTCTAGTTTGCATTTTTTCACAATTCTGACTAAGTGTCTGAATTGTCTACTGAGATGATAATTTTAATGCTTTGACAAGGTAAGTGTTTCCAGTGTAGGCTCTTTACCAATTCCATTTTTTAGCTGTGTTTTAACACCTTCTGTACTTCCATATTCATGCCTTGTTTTTTTCCTTTCTAAACAATATTTTGAGAATTGAAATATCCTTAAATTTGTCTTCCTGAGTTTTGAGTGTGGTAGTGAAGAATTCAGACCAACTGTTTCAAAACCACAAACAACTTTCTTTAAGGTGTGAGTAGTTGATTGGGTGGATGCTTCAGGGTGTGAATGAGTGCTATTGTTGCAAGTTTGTAATGGGTGGTTTGGTTGAAACAATAAAACGTACCATCAGTCTGGATTAGAGGACCTGATTTTCAGATTATAACTTTGTATTTAAGATTAAGCCTTTGCTACTTTTTTTTTTTTTTCTGTGACACAATTAGTAAAAAAACCCCAAAACCAAAAGTCCCAAACAACAAAAAAGGAGACTTGAGGCCTTTTTCCTTTTCTGCCTTTTATTTTTGTAGTCTTACTTGGTGTTACAGACCTGACAGTGCAGTCACGTGCAACTGTGCTTTTTTTATATGGTCATGAATAAACTGATTACAGCTATTGAATATTCATATTTCAGGATCTGATTTGCCAATAGCATAATGCTGAACTGATAACTGCTAATTAGAGGAGAGGGTTTCTTACCTGTTTGAATACCATTTGGAAAAGACACTAAAAAGAGAGGCATGGCCAGGGCACTTCAAAAGTTATATTGCTGGAATTGTTCTGAAGCCTAGAAAGAAATGGTAAAAAAAAAAAAAATTAAGTCCCCTGATGACTTTTATTTACTATAGGAAAAGTCTTATTGTAACGTGTACATTTTACAGAGCTCGTTGCTTATCTCTTGGTCATAAATCTGACTTCTCTGTCTCATTTCTAGAAGCTGTTTAACAGCAGTACTGAAATTTTGACATCAGCCTTTAATGAAGGTGACAGTGTTTTATCTGTTTGGTTTTTTTAAAAGCAGACTCTGAAAACTTGCAGTGAGTAATCCTAGCAGCATGTACTGTACTTTGTACATTAAACCTTGAGAATTTGGACCAAACTGTAAAACTGAAAGAAATCTCAGCCACGCATAGAACACAAATACAGAGGAGTTTTGGTTTGCATTTTTAAAGTTGGAAGCTTTATTAAAAAAAACCCAACCAAACAACACAACAAACAAACGAAAGCCTTCCACCCACAAAACCCAGTCCTTCTAGAAAACGATGCACTCT